GAATAGCAGAGCAGAACTGCGATCAGAAGTGTCTTCCTGAGCGCCTCCACAGCTGACAGGGCCGGGGTATTTACCCAAGTCTGCCCCCACCCCCACCTGCACCCCCCCCAGCCCATTAGAGAGCTTCTAGTGCGGCGAATGTGCTCTGTAGGCAGGCTCCCGCGCGGCCCTGCCGCTGCACTAATGCAGGCTGGGTCCCCGGAGAGAGCGAGGGGGAGGGGGCCAGCGCTGGCAGTGCATTAGTGACATTACAGCAGCGGCAGGCTTGCTGCAGTGGGCTCGCTCCGGGATCTCCAGCGCTCGATTTCCTCTTTCATATCGCATCAGGAAGCACTTCATTCACAAGACTCCCCCCTCCGAAATGGCTACTCCTGCACTGCGTCTGATTGATGGCGATCGGGCGAGGCCTTGAGCCCCTGTCTTCAAGTTAGGGTTTATTCAGATCTCTTACCCAGCTGTCTGGGTTCCTGTCTTACTGGGGGAGGGGATGCTTGATGGGATGTTCTGCTAAAACATTGGGATTAGCTTTTGAATTTCAGAGTTTGAGAGCTGGGTTCTCTGTCATTGATGAAGCACATGCGGTGCTCAGGGTAACAGAACATTCCATTCCGCTGTCTGCCCCTGCCTGCTGAGCTCCACAGGGATCTGCCTGCCGGAGTCTCCCTGCTCCCACATTCCTAAAGTACAGATAAGAGCACCAGAATGCAGCTTTTTTTAGGCATGCTCTATCATCTTGTGTCCTTTATAAGTTCACTTTTATTTCTGAAATCTCCCGTTGGAGAAGGTACTATCTCAGATCAGAACACAGCTCTCTTCCCACTTGCAGCCTAATTGAAGGGATTTGTAGTTGGTTACACTCCTACCCACACCTTTTCAATCTCAAAAACAGGCTTTGTGCCTGAAACAGCCTGTCATTTGCACACTGCTCCTCCTCCTATCAAACATGAGCTTTGACAAGTCTGCGCAGAGCTGGGGTCTGAACCTCAGGCGAGGGCTGCGTCTGCGACTGCGCAGAGCAGCTGCAGGCTGGCCCCTCCCTTGTCCTGCTCCTTCCACTCCAGGCCTCAGGAGCATTGGGCTGCTTGTCGTTTGGCATTGCTGTGTGTCTCCAGAGGGTCGTTCTTCTCTGCATGGGCAGCCTTCATGCCTGAGGAGGTGGCAGTACTATCTTGTGGTGCCCACGCCTCTGTGGAAACTTAAAATTCAAAGACACCACTTTGAAGAAGGAAAGTAGTTAAAGTGTCTTAATTGCAACATGTCCAGTCGTTTTGAACAATTCCACTCTGTGTTTCTTCCAGATCAACCAAAGATAATGAGACATTGGAGAGCCATCCTCTACAGGCTACAGCCTCTCATGCTGTTTGTATTGCTGAAGCAGAAATCAACATTTCAGCCAGACTAATTAGTTAATGTTTTAACTTCACACATCTGTCTGTGCAGATTCACTCTGATTGAGTCAGTGTGCTTGAAACATCTAGCATCTGGTGCTGGCTGGAGAACACCAGCTTGTGGCTGGGTAGGGGATGCTTCACCTAATCGACTAATTTCAAATGCAGCGCAGGCGGTGAAAATCAAGAGAGAAGAAGGTGTTTTACAGGCGTAGATGAATCGGATGCTGAATGGGCCAATTATCTTCCGAGAAAGCCCTGTCCCCAAAAGCAAATTCCCAAAAATGTAGTCACTTGTATGACAAGTTGGTAAAATGATCCTTTGCTGTAAAAAGTCATTTTGTCAGGTTGATTGCTAATTGTGAAGTGTACAAGATGCATCACCCCAAAATTCTTCAGATCCAAAATCGAGCCTGCTTAGTGAGCAACTGGTCATGAACATGCCAGGAGAGTTGAAATAATTTGAATAATCTGACAAATTCTCCTAAATGAGACAGAGCTGTGAAAGTTTGACACTGAAGGACAGCAAAAGGTCAGAGCTCTGCAGAACAGTGCACTACCGATGCTTTTGCCAGAAGAGTGTTCCCATTTCTTGGTCAGCGTGCCCAGAGCATGTTGACTGTTACTGCTGTGTTAAATGACTAATAACCAGCCGTGGGCACTGATAAAAGCAGCACGAAGGAGGACTCCAGCCGGACAAGTCTTTATGAAGGCAGAGTAATTTTGTCAGTGAAACTTTGCTGCCGGAGAAAAGAAATTGAGTTGATCTGGCTGGACACAGATCTGAGGTGCTGGAAGCCACTTGTCAGCGCTGGTTGTGCCCCCTGTGGGGCTGCAGTGAACAATGGGGTCTCCTCTCCTCAATCTTTCCAGTTTCCAGTGAGTGGCAGGACTCTGCTCCATGATTTTGTGACAGAGGAGGCGTAATAATCTCTCACTAATTACACAAAACCCTGCAAGCTCAAAGATGAACTTGCAGGAGTGAAGTATGAATAAACCGTGCCTGGATTGGCCTTCTTAATGCACAGCTTTATCGATCTGCAGGTGCTCGCCTTGCCTGACCTAGATCACCTTCTGGATATTAATGTGTTTTTGTATTTTTGTCTGCGAGTTGTTCTTGAATGGCTGTAAGACATCCAGTTCTGCGTTTTTGTGGGGCTGCTGGTAAATTAGGACTTTCCCACAGGAAATTACAGATGTGCATCGCGCTCAGCCCACATCAGGCTGCAGCTGGAAGCTGAACCCTTTCCCACATGGCGGTGTGAGCAAAGCAGTTGTTTTCCTGCTGCACAGTGATTCTCACAGCCTTTTTATTATTGTTGAAGAGGAGTGACTCCATGAGCTGTCTGCGCAGGTCTCTACTTGGCGAACATAAAAAAAATACAAAAACCTGACGAGGCTGTGCTCTGCGGTTCCTGGCATACCCCCCAAACTAGAAGTCCAGGTTTTTATCCAAGCAGGAACTGGAGATGATGTTTCAAATCTGCAGCTTGTCTGCGCACTGCGTTCCCTCCAGGCGCGCTGGCGTTTCTGTGCTGGCTCGGCGTGAAGGTGGAGGGGGGTCGGGAGGGCAGCTGTGGGGGGCGTGTTCCCACAGGCCCGCAGCTCTCCGCTGGGGCAGCGCCGGGCGTGATGGAGCGTCTCCAGATGATCTCATTGGGGTCAGCGTGCTGACTCAGAGCAGAGCAGCCCGTCTCTCCCGGAGGGGTCCGAGCTCATTAAGGGCCGCTCCTTGTGAGTGAGTGTAAAGGCCCTGAGCAGCTCCAGGTGCTGAAGGATGAAGAGGTACTTTCCTGCCTTCTTTTGCCTCCCCCCAGTCCTAACTCAGCGCCCAGGGTCGTTCCTGAGTGGCTGACAACATTATGTCATCCACGCCTGAAGTCGATCAACTCTCAAGTGGGTTGTCAGATAGTTACAGAATGAACTGCACAGGTTTAATGGCTGCTCCCCTCCTTCTCCTGGTTTGGTGTGGTCCTTTTTCAACCAGAAGTGAAGCCTGGAATGCCGGACCTGGTTCCAGCTGCTTGAGGCCTGAGGAATGTGCAGCTTCAGTTGTGGAGGAATCTCCCTTCCTTCTCTGCTCAGCACAAGCTGCCCGTGTGTCCTGCTGGGGCTGAGTGGGGAATTGTGTGCAAGGAGTCTTTTCTTAGATGCAGCGTAGCGGCTGGAGTCTGGAGCAGCCTGCGCCGCGCAGAGTCGGTTCCTTTGATGCGGCCTTGGTCTAGTTGGAAGCCTGCCTGGGTGTGCGTTTCAGCTTCAGCGCCGGCTCTGTGAGGCTGTTAAAATAAGCTGCTCAGAGATGAAGGGAGGCTGTGAAAATGGCATCATTTGAGCTGCTGCTCATCCTTCAGAGGATTGTCTGGTTGGGGTTGTTTTCTTGTATGGGATTAATGTAGCTTAATGTAGCTGGTCAAGTGTCACCTACTGTCTCAGTTATAAATGTAGTAGTAAACGCTTCATCAGAAAGTGTAGCAGCTCAGGACTCGGTACAGTAGTTAAAGGTGGGTCTCATTCGCATGCTGGAACTAGCTCAGTATCTATGAATAGCCTCTGGCAACAGTTCAGTCTCCAGTTTCATCTCTGAGGAACTCGACTGAACTGCCCCATGAATAAACCTGCTCACTTCAAATTTTCTGTCCGGGAGGGAGGTCCGCTGCTGTCCTGACTGTCTGTGACCCGTCTGGAATTCTGTCTGCGTTCTTTCTGTAGGAGATATCCGCCAAGTGTGAGCTTACAGCAGCCCTGTCCTCGACACTCATAAACATATCCGGTGTGTCTGGTCATTTGTGGGTGTTGACCTCCGACAGCCCCAGGAAAGGTTGGGTACACCCTCTAGTGTTATTTGGCCAAGCATGAAAACAGAGAAGAGACAGTTTTGCTTAATTCCTCAGGAATTGTATACAACCGAACAGAAGAGGTAGTTTACTTTGGACAACAAAAGAGTTGTTGTCTGCAACACACGTCCTCCTGCTCTCCACATCACTGTGGATTGTGAAGCATTGGCATTGTCTCTTCCAGGAACCCTGGACCACCTGTCCTGCATCTCTTTACTTGCAGTCAATTCTCAGCTCCTGTGTTCTGGCTGTTTGGTTTAGAACAGCAGTATTTTGACCTGACAGGAGAGAGTGAAACTGTAAAAGTGGTAATATTGGAGCTTAATGGCACACAGTCCATCTGCTCTTCAGGGGGGCTGGGGGGGGGGGCCTTTAATGAATTACAAATGCTGGCTGCCAGTGGTCTATTATGACTGGTTACGAGGAACGAGTTGTAGTACAGTGGCCATCCAGGAAACAGGCTGTGCAGTTTGATACTTGATGAAGCTTCACATCTGTGTTGTCTCCTTTAGGCTTGTGCAAAACACAAAGTGATGTTTTCTGTGGGAACTGAGTTGTAAGTTTGAGCTGAGGATAATTGTAAGTTGGGAAACATGCATGGAGCATTTGACAGCTAAAGATACATTCTCCATTAGTTTGTGCTATCTGGCAGCAGCAGGTCTGACTGGAACCTCTGTCATCACTGTAATGCTGGTATCGGTTTCAAGACTGCTACAGGAGTGCCACTCAGCTGCAGACTGCACTTACTTACCACTGCTCCTCTCCTTTCTCTCCTCAGGGGCAGATCCAAGCTCACCAACACTGACACCCCCTAGGCTGCTTCCAGTGCTGCAAGAAGACACTGTCGTGGAGAAGCAATGGGCCACACTAGAGCACTTGCCTGCCTGCACTCCTAGTCCCAGTGGCCTCTTCCCGTTTCCCCCTTATCCTGCCCACCCTCCCTCCTTCCCTCTTTCCCCTTTTCTGTCCCTCTCACCCAGCCTTCCGTGGGACAGTAAAATAAACCCCCTGTAATAGAATCACAAAGCTAGCTGTGAAACGGAGGAGGTTAAAACATTTGCGAGGATTAAAAAGTTGCATGGAAGCGCAACACGGCCTCCTCTTTAGAGCATTTGGGCAAGGCAGGATGAGCGACAGAGCGCGATGATGATGGCAAAAAAGCAAGATGTCCGGACGCCCACGTACAACTTGGTTGTGGTGGGGCTGTCCGGGACGGAGAAAGAGAAAGGGCAGTGCGGTGTGGGCAAGTCCTGCCTCTGCAACCGCTTTGTCCGTCCCAGCGCCGATGATTTCTACCTGGACCACACCTCCGTGCTGAGCACCAGTGACTTCGGGGGAAGGGTGGTCAACAATGACCACTTCCTGTTTTGGGGGGAAGTGGGTCGACAGATGGAGGAGGGCCCCGAGTGCCGGATGCATGTGGTGGAGCAGACGGAGTTCATTGATGACCAGACCTTTCAGCCCCACCGCAGCACTGCCCTGCAGCCCTACATCAAGAGGGCTGCGGCCACCAAACTGGCCTCGGCAGAGAAGCTGATGTATTTCTGTACGGACCAGTTGGGCCTGGAACAGGACTTTGAGCAGAAGCAGATGCCTGAGGGCAAGCTGCAAGTGGACGGCTTCCTCCTGTGTGTGGATGTGAGTCGGGGGATGAACCGCAATTTTGACGACCAGATGAAGTTCGTCACCAACCTCTACAACCAGCTGGCCAAGACCAAGAAGCCAGTGGTGCTGGTGCTCACCAAGTGCGATGAGGGTGTGGAGCGCTACATCAAGGATGCGCACACCTTTGCCTTGGCCAAGAAGAATCTCCAGGTAGTGGAGACCTCAGCTCGCTCCAATGTCAATGTGGATCTGGCTTTTCTCACGCTGGTGCAGCTCATCGACAAGAGCCGAGGCAAGCCCAAGATCATCCCCTACTTCGAGGCACTGAAGCAGCAGAGCCAGCAAATTGCCTCGGCGAAGGACCGCTATGAGTGGCTGGTGAGCCGTATCGTGAAAAACCACAATGAGACGTGGCCCAACATCAGCCGAAGGATGCAGAACTCTACAGAGTACAAAGACTACGTCTACTTGGAAGGCACGATGAAGGCCAAGAAGCTCTTTCAGCAGCACATACACAGGCTCAAGCAGGAGCACATTGAGAGGCGGCGAAAGATGTACCTGAGCACCCTCCCCCAGGCCCTCAATACCCTGGTCCCTGAGCTGGACGACATTGACCACCTCAGCTGGCCCGGGGTTCAGCAGCAACTGAGGACAAAGAGGGACTTCTCCACTTGGTTTGTTGTGCTAGAAGAGACACCCTGGGAGGAAACGTCACACATCGACAACATGGAGGACGAGCGAATCCCCCTGGATCTTCTGGACACCCCAGCCGCTGAGCAGATCTACGAAAACCACTTGGAGCACCTGAGAAATGAGCGCAAGCGGGCGGAGATGCGGCGACTCTTCAAAGGGAGTCTGAACACATCCCCATTCATCACAGCTGGCAAGCCCTGGGAGGAGGCCCGCAGCTTCATCATGAACGAGGAGTTCTACCAGTGGCTGGAGGAGCCAGAGTACCTGGATATCTACAGCCGGCACCAGAAGGAGATCATTGAGAAAGCCAAGGAGGACTTCCAGGAGCTGCTGCTGGAGTATTCAGAGCTCTTCTATGAACTGGAAGTAGATGCCAAGCCTAGCAAAGAGAAGATGGGAGCAATCCAGGAAGTTCTTGGTGAGGAGCAGCGATTCAAGGCTCTACAAAAGCTCCAGGCAGAGAGGGATGCTTTGGTCCTCAAGCATATTCACTTTGTTTATCACCCCACCAAGGAGACCTGCCCCAGTGGCACGCAGTGCGTGGACAGCAAAATCGAGCAGCTCCTGGCTTCCCGGTTTCCCACCCGCTACCCTTTCTTTGATAGCGGGAACCAAAAATCCCACTTTGGTGGGGACAGCAAAGTGGACAAAATCAATTTGGTCATCCTGGGCAAGGATGGACTGGCCCGGGAGCTGGCCAATGAAATCAGGGGCCTGTGCACCAATGATGACCGGTACGTGCTCGACGGCAAGATGTACGAGCTCTCACTGAGGCCCATTGAGGGCAACGTGCGCTTGCCCGTCAACTCCTTCCACACGGCAACCTTCAAGCCACACGGCTGCCTCTGTCTTTACAACTCTAAGGAGTCCCTCTCCTATGTCATGGAGAGTATTGAGAAGGTCCGTGAGTCCACCCTAGGCAGGAAGGATAACCACTTAGCTCACCTGCCAATGACACTAATCCTAATCACCAAGAGAGGGGTTGGCTCGGTGGGCGACATCGGGGGGGAGACCACTCACAGCTTGATTGCCCAGGGTCAGCAAGTGGCCAGCAAGCTACAGTGTGGGTTTTTAGAACCAGCTGCCCCGGGCATGGGCTATGGGCGGAGTGTCAATGAGAAGCAGATCAATCAGGTCTTGAAAGGCCTGCTGGACTCGAAAAGGAACATGAACCTGGGTAGCAGCTCTCCGCCCCTCCACCCGCCACCGAGCGCCAGAGACTCTCACCACCAACAGAACCCAGAAGCTGACATGCGCATCGTGATGTGTGTGATGTGTGGAGACTCGTACGACGTGGAGCAACTCCTGTCCCCCTTTCTGCAGCCCCAGCATTGTCGGCCTTCCTCCTTACCAGGCAGTGGGACCTCAGTCCTCCTGGAGCTCTCTGTGGGGTGCCAGCGGCAGAGCATCGAGCTCCTCATCCTCTCCTACCACTCCTCCTTCAGCTTGCGCAAGAGCCGGCTGGTGCATGGCTACATCACAGTCTACTCCGCGAAGCGCAAGGCGTCCCTAGAAACACTCTGTGCTTTCCTCTGCGAGGTGCAGGACATCATTCCCGTACAGCTGCTCGCCGTGGAAGACGAGCTGAGCGACCACGAAATTGCCAGGGACCAGCTGGCCCAGGGGGAGGAGTTGGCCCACGAGATTGAGGGGCGCTTTACGAGCGTTGCATGTGGAGCCGGCGGTGGACAGCACACGATAGACTTGTTCCAATCCTTCTTCAAAGAGGTGGTGGAAAAGAAGACCATTGTGGAAGCCACCCACATGTACGACAACGTGGCCGAGGCCTGCAGCACCAATGAGAGCATGCACTCGCCCCGGGCTGGCTCGCCTAGCCCCATTACAACCCTGCTGGACTCTGAGGATGATGTGGAGCCCTCCCCGCCCTACACCACACTGCGTGAGGACAGCACCCTGTCCTCCTCCCATAGTGGGTCCAAACTGCCCGATACAGAGGCCAGTGATACCTTCTCCGTCATCTCCGAGATCAGCGCCTTCGAGAGCAAGCTCAACAACAAGGTGCCTCCTCAGGTCCGGCCTAAGCCCACCGTCAGCTTCGACTTCCGCAAGGTCAGCCTCACCTCCTACATGGACCCCGGTGCCAACCGCCGCTCGCTGCCTTCTGCCGTGACCTGGACGCCGGGCGGAGACGGGGGCTATGACCCCAATGACTACGCGGAGCCCATTGACGCAGTAGCCAAACCTCGGCCCACTGACGAGGAGAATATCTATTCCGTGCCCCATGACAGCACACAAGGCAAGATCATCACCATCCGGAATGCCAACAAGGCGCACTCCAACGGAGGGGGCAACGGCTCGGACAGCGAGGCCGACAGTAGCTCCCTGGAGCGCCGGCGCAAGCTCTCGTCCGTGAGCATCAAGCCCCGCTTGTACCGCGACCGCTCCAAGCGGCTGGGCAAGTTCAGCAGCTTCCGCACCAGTTTCTCCATCGGCAGCGACGACGAGCTGGGCGGCCCGCCCAAGTTGAAGTCGGAGGATGACGGTGGCGTCCTCAAGGGCGACAACTCCATCATTGAGATAGAGGGCGAGGATCCCAAGAGGAGGAACATCTTAAGGAGCCTTCGCAGACCTGGCAAGGTAACGTCAAGCATCTTCAGTAGAGCCCTTGTACATTGTGTAAGGTGGGAGCGAGGCTGTGGGTGGATGTGGTTGGTGTCACAAGTGTCAAAGAGAGGCAGTCGGGTCCAGCTGGGTTCTTTGGGATACTCCAGAACAGACTTGGCATCCCCTCTACAACTTGTTTCCATAATTTTAATTAAATCTGGGATTGGGATGTAAACAGTTTTTGTCACAAATGGGCAGGTCTTGATTGGCTGCGAGCTCTGCTCTCATACAGAAGCCATGTTTTAGTTGAGATTTTCAGATCATGACTTGTGTTCTAGTGAAGGTCCTAAGATGCCCTTTTCTGACACCCTTGTTCAAGTAATCAGGCTCCCGCTGATTAGCCTTCCTGAATCCTCTCATCTAGATTAGTTAAAAGTGAGTCATTCCCGTAAGTGGGTGTAAGTTCTCTGGGATCCTCTGGGCTAACAACATCTCATGTGAGGAATCATTTTAATTCTCTGCATGCTGTGTGGAGACGGTGCATGACAAGATATGCATCCACTAGCTGCTCGGTTCTTGGGCATGTTGAACAGGGGTTTGTGGCGCAGGGTGCAAGTCCAGCAGAGAAGGGGAGTGTGAGGTGCTGTGATAAGGGGGTTCTTGCGTGCTCGGGGCAAGAATCACAAGTTCCTGTGCCCCTTAACACCTGTGCCCCTGATCTACACTCTGTTGATAAAAGGCTGCCACATGTTTTCATTTGGTTTCAATCAGGAGTTGTGATTGAGCGTTTGAGATTGTGGATCAAAAACAGAGAAAAGTTTAGAGAAAATAAGTGCATCCTCAGATTTTTCATTGGGACCAATTTGTTTTTAAAACTGGGACGTCTAGCATTTCCCCAGTTAATCTTTCATTCAGGGGTGGTGCAAAGTATATTTCTCAAGCACCTCCTTTCCTCTGTCTTGTGGTTTCATTCCAGGCAGACATTAGTATTCTTTGAACTCCCCAGTGTTCTCTCTGTGCGAGCTTCGGCTGTCTGAAGACGTGGGCCTCTCTGAACGAACCTGCACTGCAGGCCTGTGTTGTGGGAGGCCTGCAGGAGACACAACGGGCTTAATAAGACTTTGCTGGATCAGACTGATAGCCCCTGCAATCCAGCAGCCTCCTCGTTGCAAAGTGTTGAGCCGTGAAATCAGAGCTTGTGTTTTCCACGGGAGGTTTGCGAATGAGACAGGCGCCCATTCAGCACGGCGGCGGGTCTGAGCCACAGCTGTGTCCAAGAGGGTTGGAAACACACCTCTGACTCCTAGCGGCTCTTTTCTGGGGAAAGGCTGGAGCGATCGGGCAGAGCACAGCTTCCCTCTCCGCCTCTTCCCACCTTCGAAAGCCTTTTCGAACTTTTTATCCCTCAGAGCACGTCCTGTAGTTTTGTGTTTTAGAGAACAGATTTCTGGGAACCATGGCTCTTTGGGTTCAGTTTTTAGATTGCTTTTATGCCAACTGCCTCACAGCAGATTCAGAGCCTAATGAGTTTTCTCAATTAAAGCATCAGAGAAAGTTATTAGCAGCAGTTTAGTTGAGTTCTTGTCGCTCTGGAGCTGAATAAAGCCTTTTGTTCCGAACAAATCCATTTTGTGCCACTGCCAAGACTTTTTACCCTGCAGCCTTTAGACTTGATTTATTCATGTATTTCTGTCAGTTTAACACATCTCAGCAAGCGGAGCCCCAGGAGCCTGGCCCCTAGTCTCCACTGCGGTCGGTGTGCCAGAGTGGTTGTGGGCGGAATGATGCCTCTAGATGTACGAAAGGCTGCAGGTGAACTTGGCAAAAGGAGGGGGGATGAGCCCTGGTGTGCCAGGAAGAGATGGGCATGTAGACATGTAAGCTTTTGAAGTTTGCACCTCACACTGAAAGTCACCGACTGTACAGGGGAAAGAGCCCAGACCTGCTGCTGAACACTGCAGCCTCCTCAGTGACCAGACACCTGGCCTGTCCAGCCCATTGGAGTGAAGTAAAGGGAATGAACTTTATATAGTGCCTTTAAAAGCTGTCATCCGGTCATCCCAGAGCACTTGCAGTGCAGGTTAAACATTTTCTCTCAGTGTACTCAGCAAAAGGGCCTCAGGAGATTAAACCAGGCTGGCGCAAAAATGGCAAAACCTCATGTTTCTCATTCTCTTTGTTGCAGAAAACGAGGCCCAAGCCACGACACTCCATCTCCAAGCCGCTGGAAAGTAACTATTTTGGAGTGCCACTGGTCACCGTGGTCTCCCCCGAGCGCCCCATACCCATCTTCATCGACAAGTGCATCAGATACATCGAGGCCACAGGTGGGTGCAGCACACCTCCAGAGCACTGGTGGGGGACTGTGAACTTGTGCAAGTGTGACAATGAGTGTGAGTGCACACAGATCATCAAGGTAAGGAGCTCAGCCGGTCTGTCTGCAGTCCGGGTGCTGAACAGAAGTATAGGTGCTCTGGAACAGCCTGGCCAACTTGTCAGCAGGTCAGCTGATCTCAGTAGATTGATTTTCGACAGGAAATCAAGAATCAGAAGAGATTGTACCCAAACACTCTAGGGTCATATGAGTTTAGCAAGGATAAGAAATAAAAGCCTAGCATTCTCTCGGTGTTCATAATAACACCGTCCTGCAGGATCTCTGTGGCTGCTGCTGTGTTCCCTCGGAAGATTAGCAGGGCTGTTCCCTCTGTAAGCAGCGGGCTGCCACATGAAAGTCTTCCTCATGCCCCTTCTGGAAAACATTGGGCAAACTGTGAGGTCAGCGATCTGCTCTTCGTGCGTCTGTCCTCCTCCTGTTTCCTTGTCATGGGAGTCATGCACATCTGACTGACTCTTTTGGAGTTGCGCTGCTCCGTGGTTTAGAATCCAAGGAGACCGTGTGTGTGTGTGGGGGGTGTTGTGTCAAGTCTGTCCTGGCCACACTGGACACTGCAGCCACAGCGCTGGTGCTGCTGGTGGCCGCTGAGTTCCGCGTCTAGGACACCAGAGCTCCAGACTGTTAGAGTCTGTTCATTGATGTGCTGGAGACTGAAGGAGTGTCAGATGTGAACTGATTGTCGTGAATGATGAGCCTTGGGACGTGCGTGCACTGGTCTGCTGGGGTGCTGGACGTGCCCGTCTGCCCTGTTCTGGTTGAGCACTGCTGAAAGCTCTCTGCAGGGGTACAACACCCCCCAGCTCTTTACAGTGTGCCCAGGTGGCCCAGGCGAATGTGCACTGAGCTCTTGTGCACCCTGGCGCGCACACTGCCTGGTGACAGTGCCAGGCTGCTGGACATGGCTGATGGAACTTATTCGATAAGCAAACGCAAACTGATATAGCAAGATTAGTGATGTCACAAGATGCAGTGATGGCTCTGGATTTCTATTTGGAGGGTCATGGGTTTAAATCCCGGATGGGGACACAGATGTTGTATCCTTGAGCAAATTACTGTACCCTCTTTACTCCATCATCCCCAGCTGTGTGAATGGACACTGGAATGTGTCTGTAAACTGGGTAATTATAGCTTCTAGAAGTTGCTTTGGCTAAACGTCAGGGGGATTATTATGAATAATGAAAAAGGAATGCAATAATAACAATTACTCAAATGCAACTTGAAAACAACTGCGAGAACTTTACTGGGATTGTTCTTTTAATTGCATTTTTGAGCAATACAGAGTTCCCAAATTAGTTCTGTATTAAAGTTTAGTGTTTGGTGTTGTGCTGTGTCTTTCAACATTGGATCAAGTAAAGTCCATCCCGTGCTAAAAAAAAAGAATGTTTCTGTGTCAGACACCTGAAGACGGTTTCTCTCTCAGTGTGGAATTAACCTCTACTAGTTCCTCTGCGACCAGCGCACGCTGATGCCACTCAGGCGGGAGAGGGGCAGGCGGGAGAGGCGGGGCCTCTGCAGGGGCAGGCGGGGGAGGCAGGGCCTCTGCAGGGGCAGGTGGGGGAGGCGGGGCCTCTGAAGAGGGAGGCAGGGGAGGCAGGGCCTCTGCAGGGGCAGGGGGGGGAGGCAGGGCCTCTGAAGAGGGAGGC